GGGCACGGGCCTTGGTGAGATCCGACGGCCAGTGATAGGCAGCGCTGCAGAGTTCGTGTATGTTCGTGTGAAGCGCCAGGCTCGCACCGCGAGTTAGCAGGCTTAAATGAGCGACGCAGCTTTCGTAGAGTTGTATCTGCTCCGGCAAAGCGAGTTGAAAAAAGGACTGGCTCATATCCGTTCAGAGTCGCAGTCTAGAGGCCCAGAGCTTCTCCAGAGGCAACCATCAGAAGGTGATTGAACCCAGAAGGCTTCTCCAGATCCTCTGCAAGAAATGACTGGGACACACGACGGAGGACTTCTTGCGTCCTAATTGCCGTCTCAGTCTCGTATAGTCTCGTCGTTCGTGGCACACTTCCATCTGAATTGTGGGCGTTTGATGTGATGCTATTTATCCAGTGCAAGGCAGCCCCGTAGCTGAAGCTCGCCGTGGGTGGCAGAATCGCATGAATCGATTGCTTCTCTTGAATACATTATTCTTGAATGAGTTTTGTTCATCTTAGTCAGCTAAATCATGGTATGTTTGGATCTGGATTTGAGTATCTGTGCTACTGTGCTACCAATGATATTTCCTGTTTTGAGTAGTCTGAGCTCTGAAGCCTCATCGGCTAGATCACTTAGTGCCGTCTAAAGAGTCTGAGTCCAGAGATTGGGCTGGTTGATGGACCGTCTGCTGAATCGGGGAGTCTTAGCAAAAGGGTGATGGACGCGACCTAATTTTTTTTTACACCCGGGGTTCCTTTGCAACTTTCGTCCCCTCTCAAGCTTCTCGCCCGGTACTCGGATGGAGTTGCACTTCCAAGATTCCATGGAGTCGCGAAGCGTCGTCAACCGCAGCTGTCCACAAGAGACCCACAGAGGAAGTGGCACGTGATTTCGCCATGACCAGCCAGCAGCAGAACCTACACGTTCAGCGACATGCGACCCTGAAGTATCATGAATGCCTGAAGTTCTCACGTCCTAGCACAGCTTCGCGCAGATCAAGTAGGGTCCCCAGTCCCCCCCCCGGCTCCCGCCCCGGGACCCAACCCTTCGAGCCTTGGCCCTGAGAATGGGCTTCGAGCTTCTCGGGAATGGCTTCTGCATGGACTCCCAGTGCCTCAGCTACGAGCCAAGGGCCGATCTCGGGCCCCCAGGATTTAGGCCCTGGAGGGTTTTTTTCGGGATTTTTAGGGCCGTTAAACCTAGGAACATCTACTACGACAGCTTCACCGCCTCCACGGGGGAGAACGGTTATGATGGGACCCTGGCCATGTGCGAGAGCCGTTCTGCGTCGAATCCTCAATCTCCCGGCTTTGCCTTCAGCGACACAAACGCCTGCACCATCTACATGAACAATGGGCAGGCGCCGGAAGTCTTAGGAATTTTGGAATAGTGCGAAGTTTTGCCCCTTGGGTGCCTGTCTTTGCAGTCACTTTGAGGGGAATTCCTCCAATGCAGGTCTTTTGGTAGCAACTTCAGGCAACCTTACCCGCCCAGTGGGATCAGACTTGCATGCTACACGGGGTATCGCGGGGTCCATGACGAGCAGTGGTCAGGTGCCAATAGGCTTCGAGGTTCCCATCTCCGGCACTGTCACCACGAACTATGGCAATGGGCCCATCAACAAAGCCTCTCTGCTGCTATTCATCCCTGGGCTCGGAGGAGATCTGTGCAGGTCTAGTTCTGTCTGGACCCGGTCGTTCGTGCAATCTTGTGTCTGGATAGCAACAACGTTTGAATCTTGTCCGTCTATTCACACTCTGGTCCACCGCTTAGCCAGGAGATTTAGCACACAAAGATGTCTGGGCTGTGGGAATCCCGCACCTGTTTGCTAAAGGTGTGAGAGCTGAACATTTCGCTTCCGCACTACATTGCATCTGCGTTTCCTAGGAACGATTTGGTGGGCCATGTTGGCCTTGGGTAGAGCTCCAATGATTCTCACATATGATCACGGTGGGGCGGACTGATCTTTCCCAACGTACATGTGCTCATAGTACTAGTGACGAGTCGCCACCAGAGTCGGGCGCGGCGCGCGTGCACACCTTGGCCATTTTCAATGCCCCATGAAATCAACAACGAAAGACGACACATCTTCCTGAGGCATCCGGACATTTTGCCAGTTCCTGCTATCGCAAACTGCCTACCACGACTACAACCACAAGCACAGAGAGCGTGGCAACAAGCTCCTCCAGCTCCACCTCAACACCCTCGACGACCACGACGACCACGACGGCAGCCGCCCCTCAAGGCACGTGGTGCTTCAAAATAGCTGATGAAGCCACTTGCATGTGCTGTGCCCCAGATGTCGTTTAAAGGTGTGATGTCCAGCAGATACACGGAGACCGCGGACGCATACTGCTCCAATGCCATGGATGATGATGATCCATCCATCTTGTCCCGCTACGATTCGTTCGAAAACTGCTGGGAATACTGCGCGTCGGAGACCAGCTGTGCTGCATGCTTTCAGCCTTGCTTAGATGGAACAGGAGGCTTGGGACTTTGCAGATACAGGAGAAATATAGTTACTTAATATAGTGAATATCCGGTGCACATCTATTGCTCCTCGATAGGCGGCTGTATTGGCTCCCAAGGTATCTTGGCGTAGATAGCAGTTCGATTTGGTATTCCAAGCGAGGACACTGCAGGCCCTCGAAGAAATATGTATCTCGTCCGGCTGAGCCGAGGCTGCCAATTTCTGGCCGTGTCCCTGTGCTCTGCCAAGACTGCAGATGGTTGCGGAGCCAGAATTTGGAGCTTCTTGGCTATGGGATTCTGCGAGCTTGGGTAGCGAAGCTTTATGTACTGCCACTGCACTTTGCGGAGCAGGGCATGGGCTCCTTATTGGAGGGTTTTCAGCGGCTTTGATCCCGAGGATCTTGAAGTGTCGACACCTTTGAAGCACGCGGAACCATGCAGTTTGAACAGCCCTTGGCAAGGACGGTATGGAAGCTCTGGAGATCCGATGTTGGCAGTGCGCATTGTGCTCATTGTCGTGGGTGCGATCGTCTTGCTAGGCCGGAGAGAGAGAGAGAGAGAGAGAGAGAGAGAGAGAAGCCGCGAGTGGTTCAAGGCTCCGCCCCCCGAGAGAGAGAGAGGAGCCTCAACCCGGACCCGTGAGGGAGCTTCGAGGGTCCTCCGTGCCGTCAGAGGGGCCATCGACCTGTACGGCAAGAGCGTAGCACTACACGACTTCCCCGTGAGGGTCCTCCGCTGCGACATAGTCGAGAGTGCTCCCGGCCGTGAACCGCTGCTCTCCGAGGCGAGAGGGGGACATTCAGGACCGCTACCACATTGGCATCGGCGGCCTACTCGCTGTCTTTGCCCAGGGAGCGACCCGGGACAACCAGAAGGGGAGACACAGAACGAGCCGGGAGAGGTCGTGATACTACCCGCACCTCATCAAGAATGCAAGCCATGCCTACGTCCGGAGGGGCAGCAGGCCCCAGCCACATGGAAGGGGTGCAGGGGCCAGGACCCGCGCCGCCTGCAGTTGAAATCCCCGACGACCCTCAGGACGAGCCGGGGTCCCCACAGAAAAGGGGGAGGAAAGCAGAGCAGCAGCTGACGCTGGACATGCTGAAAGAAGTGCTGGCAGCCGAGCGCACCAAGGACAGGCAGCACCTGGCAGACAGCCTCCATGCAGTCAAAGGGGACATAGACCAAATCCGAGCAAGGGTCGATGCTGTGGAAGGGGGGGTCACGCAACAAATGCACAATACCTTGGCGATGCTGACCAAAATCACCAACAACTACGACGACCAGGCGCAGACGCTTGCCGAGCTCAGACAGGGGCAAAGGGGGATGGAGGATCGCATCGCAGCACTCGAGAAGCAGCCTGCGGGGTCGGTGCCCGCCAGCACGACGGACACGGCCACGGAGGGGGGCAGAAGGCCAGCCATCATCATAGGGGGCTGGAACCCAGACCAACTGGCCAGTGACACATTGCAGGCAGCCAAAGATGTCCTCAAGCAGCTCGACGTGCCCCTGAGCACCGACGGCATGTTTGTTCCGGGGATCAGACGCGGCTACGCGATCTTGCCGATAGACCACAAGCCGCTGGAGTCCGAGGAGGCGCGCCGCACCAGAGTCCAGAACGCAATTCAGCGCGTTCGCAACGCGAACATGTCTCTCGGCCAGCATGAGCAGGGGGGACTCCGGAAACTATGGATAGCTATCAGCCAAAGCCCTGAACGCAGACGCCGCGCTAAGTTGGCGGGCAAGGTCAAGAGAGTCATCCTGGAGATGGGGGGGGACCAGAGATCCATGGACGTCGAGTTCGCCACGGGCACAGTCTGGCTGGGGGCCCATAAAGTTGCCAGCGCAACGGCCGAGCAGCCTCAAGGCGCACAGAAAGCGGGGGCAGGATGGATTGACCTCAAGCTGCTCGCGAAGGCCATGAGGAAACCCCTGCAAGACGTGGAGGACGCGTGGCAGCCGCGGCAGGCGGAGCTGCAGTGACCGCAGGGAACCACCGCTGAGAAGTTTCACCAGGAGGGGGACCCGAAGGGCATCTCCGCCACAACTCGCATTGCCTCGTGGAATGTGGGGGGACTCACGGCACAACAAGCGCTGGAGTTGCCCTCGCTTTTCGTGGGGAACCGCGAACTTCAAGGACTGACAGCACTTTTGCTGCAAGAAATTATTTGTGAAGTGGGCACTTGGTTTCATGAACATGAAGGGTGGGTCATCGTCTATGGCAAGAACGAGGGGGATTGGAGGGGAACGGGCATTGCGTACAAAGCCGAGGGACACAAACATACCAACACGCGACTCATCACGGTGGGCATCGCCACCACCCTCAGCAACGACAAGGGCAAACAAGGCATCCGCTATCTCTCTGGGCACATCCCGCACCACGCTACAGTAGCGCAGACGGAGGCAATTATGCACGCGTGGTCCAGCACACTCAAGAAGGCCAAAGTGGTGGTGGGCATGGACGCCAACGAAGAGTTCACCGACGCCGATAACACAGGGCTCAGGTCTCATACAGCACGGGGGGAAGCCATCCTGGTTGCTGCCCTACCGCAGGGGGTTACTGCACCGCAACAGCAACTGACCGTGGAGACCTACCACCCGTACAACACACAACATCGCTCAAGGAGATTGGACTACGTGATGACGCGAGGGGTCCAAGCACCACAAGGGGGGGTTGCAGTGGGAACCCGCCACCTTGCACGCTCCGACCACGACCTTGTGTGGATACAGATGAGCACAGTGCCAATTCCCAAGCAGAACCGCCCCACTTGGGGGGCAAGGCGGTTCCGCAAGCACGTTGACATCAATGCCATAGTGGGGGCTCCTTTGAAGCAGGAGGACACGCGCACCGCCATCGGGGACATCGCGCTACGCACCACGGTCCAGGGCAAGTACACCAGCAAGTTCGTCGAAAGCACGGCGCTCAAAATGGCGAGGAAGCAAGCCCATGCCTCACCGGCCCAGGATGCCAGGGAAGCCTGGAAGAAAGTCAACCGCATGCGCAAACAGGAGCTCCGCGCGTGGCACAATAACCTCGTTGTTCGGGCGAGCCAGGTGGACTGGTACGCCTACCGTACATTGAGCCACCTACAGCGACGGGAAGGGTGGCATCACAAACTCGTCGACGAGGAGCGGTGGCGGGAAACCATGCGTAAGCACTTCGAGGGGATCTTTGCCAAGGCGCCGAAAGCTCGCACAGCGAAGAAGTTGGGGGATACGCGGAGGGCGCTGACAACACTATGCAAGGTCACCAAGTGGAAACCGTTTACGCTCGACGACTTGAAGGTGGCAACGGTCAAATGGAAGTCGGGGAAATCCACCGGGCCCGATGCCATAACCCATGAGATCCTGCGATACCTACTCAACGACGACCGATGGGGGTTCCGCCTGACGCACATGATGAATGATTTTCTCTATAAGGGGGAACTGCCGGAGGGAGTCCTCAGAGGCATCACAGTGCTGCTCCCAAAAACTTTGGAGGACCCCTCTTCGTGGGGGGACACCAGACCGATCACACTGTCTTCGGCGATCCTCAAATGGTTCTCTCAGCTTCTCCTCAAACGATGTGGGGGCAAGATCCAAGATGGGGCCCCTTACCAATGGGCGTCGCGAGGCAAGCAAGCACCAGAGCTCCTTGTCATCCTGAGACGTGTCGTGAGGATGGCCAAGGACTGGGGGACGCCAACGTGGATCATCAAGCTGGACGTTCGCAAGGCGTTCGACAGTGTTTGGCAAGAGACAATGGGGGACATGGTGGCCAGGCGGGTCGGGGGGTTGCGACCGGGCGGGGGGGGGACTCGGGGGGGGGAGCCCTGGCAAGCACGCGCGTGGCTCTCCCTCCTCGAAGCACGGGAGCTCAATGTGGCCATCGGAGACGAAGTTGTCAGCGTGCCCCAAACGAACGGGGTGAGGCAAGGCTCCCCCGATAGCCCGGTGTTGTTCAGCCGGATTATCGCTGACGACCTTGAGGGGGCACTACGTGACGCCCAACCCTTGCTCGGGGACAACCGGGGACCTCCCCCCCCCCACTCTGGGGGGGCGTTTATGGATGACACGTATCTATGGGGATACAGCAAAGAGCACCTCCAATACGCACTTTCAAGCCTTGAACGCAGACTAGCACAGCACGGCCTGGCGATAAACCCGGGCAAAACAGCAATTATCCACAGCCAGCCGGGCGGGGGCACATTTCACATAGGGGGAGAAGAGGTTGCATGTCTGCCCCATGGTGCCGTGATCACAGCCCTAGGGTCACCCCTGACCTTCGGGGAAACCACAGCAGCGGTGATCACCGAAATGCAGCACAGAGCATGCAAGGCGTTTCACAAAAACGCTAAACTGCTTTGCGCGCCGACCCCCTTGAAAGCCAGGCTCACCCTTCACCAGACTCTCGTCAGGGGGGCGGCTCTGTGGGGGGGGCAATCCTGGCCGGTCAGTGACGCCATCCTACGAGCCATCAACAGCACGCAGCTCCAGCAGATCCGCAGAATGATGCACCCAGGGAGGAGGCCGGGGGAAACTTGGGCTGAATGGAACGTGCGCACGTTGAGGGGAGCAAGGGTGGCTTTGCAGCAATCTAAGGTGGTGAGATGGAGCACGTTCCAACTGCAACACACGTGGGAGCTCTATGGGCACATGGCGCGCTCCAAGCACGGGGGGAGGGACATGCTGCAATGGCGCAACCTCAAGTGGTGGGAAGCAGAAAAGAACAAGCCAAAGAGCCAGCGAGCAACACACGCACACAGGTACAACCCATTTGCAGACACAGAGAGACAGATAGTGAGAGTTGCAAAGTTAGACTGGATGGACACAGCTTGCAACATGCCGGTTTGGGCAGCACTTGCAGCAGAGTTTGTGAAGCAGTTTGACGTTGCATGGGCCTCGGGCAAACAGGCCAGTTTGCAGAACCTAGTCCCCAATATGTCAACAGGCATCAGGGGGACACGCATAGCGAATGAAGCTGACGAGCCGATAGCTGAGCACACTCACGGCCTTGACATGCAAGGGGACTACCAGCTTCAAGCCTAGCTCAGGGGAACCCAGCGCAGCCGCCTCAGACCTCAGACGACAGTGCTCAAGCCTCTGACGTTTGCACCAGTACCAGAGCAGCGGTGCCACACCATGCGCTGGCAACTTTGGTTAGTCTTGCTGACGGTGCCCTGGCGGAACCACGCCTCGGTTCAGAAGCCCAGGGCCACGACACCACCACAGCAGCGACCGGACACAGAGCAGCAGCGGCCTGGCACACAGGCAGGGGGTGGACAGCAGCAGCCACAGCAGACAGCAGGACCACTGCCGCCCGCAGGTGCCCAGCCGAACCCCCAAGAGGAGCCGACACCAGCAGCAAGCACCTGCCAAGCCCAGCAACAAGTCGCTATGCCGCCCCCACCACCAGGCGATCCAGGAAGCCAGCAGGAGGGAAGACACAGACCAAGCCGCCAGTTGCAGGGCCAAGCCGGTCCACTTCCCCAGCTACCACAACAGCAGTACATAGCAGCTGAAGGCAGCAGTAGCAGCAGCAGCAGCTGCAGTGGGAGCAGCGAGGAGGACAACAGCAACAGCTGCCAACAAGCCGACTTCCCAGAACCCTGGGAAACCTGGAAGCAGGCACCCGACAACACGCCGGAAGACACAGATGCAACAGAACCTTGGCAGCCGCAGCCCACGGCACAGCAGACGGCGACCAACCAGTGGGGGTACACCCTCACCTACTACCCACCGCGACAAGCAAGACTGCAACAGGGGGGCCCCAGTCACGACATGGACCCGCCAAGACCGTTGGAAGCCTTCCGCTCAGCAGCCAGCCGCGAGCGAACCAGAGAAGAGACCGCCGCAAGTCCAGCAGCCCCAATACAGCAGCCCATCCGGAACCGCTGGGGACGAGCCCTGGCACCACTCCCAGAGCCACACCTGCAAGGCAGGCCGCAGCAACAAGCCCAGGAAGAGAACAGGCCACAGCAGTGGCACCAACCACAGACAGGAACCACCAGGCATGGCCACAGCAGCAGCCTCGACCCAAGCACTGCGGGGAACCAGCAGGAAACACAGCAGCTGCAGCCGCCCCGAGGGGGACAAGCGTAACAGCAGCCGCAGCCCCAAGGAGCCCAAGCCCAGCAGCGCACAATACAGCCTGAGCAGCCTTCCGCACAACCCCCGCAGCAGCACGAAGCCCCAGCAGGGTGGCGGCAGGTACCAACCCCGGGGATCACTGCGGTAAGCCAGGACCAGCCAGCCGCAAGCAGCCAGCAAGACACGGCAGCACAGCAGCAGCACCAAGATATGCCAGAACTCGACGACGGCACAGAGGCCACGGGGGGAGCGCGGTGCCCCTACCACGAAGGGGGGGGCGACCAAAGAATGCGGGGGAAAAGATATAAGGCTGCAGTGCAAAGTTTTTACAAACAACGAGGATGGACCAAGGGGGACCATCAACACTGGAGAGACTTAGGCCCCGCCGTGGGGTTATTTGAGGAGGACAGCGAAAGCGAGTGGGAAAAGGTGCTCGCAAGAGGGAGACGCCAGAGACGTTGGACACAGCCAACCACCCCCACACCCACACCAGACTGGGGGGACCTCCTCAACAGACACCTCCTCCCCCGACAGGGGGACCCACAGAGCACTCAACTAGCGCAGCAGCAGGAGGGCCAGACACAGCCAGCACAACAAGCACAAGGAGCCGCAGCAGCCAGCCACCCCAAGCCCAGCAAGCAGCAAACCGCGACGGACGGAGACAGCGGGGGGCCCAGCGGCCGCAGACGCATGCCCACGCCAACCAGCACCACAGCAGCAGCAGAGCAGCAGGAGAACACTATGGAGGGGATCTTCAATGTCCTCTACATGAGCCACGGCAGGGGACCGCGCCCACTGACGGCGCCGCCAGAGCTACCGATAGCCCAGGGGGTCACGCTGCATATGCGATCAGGGCCCTATGGCATCTGGGCAGCTGTCACGACACATACGGGAGCCAACTTTGCAGCTGACTATGGCCCCAGCCCAGCTAGGAACTACGCAAGGGCACGCCAGGTGCTGCAGAGCCACCAGCAGACTCCGAACGCCTACATCGGGGTCAACACAGCGTTCACTCTTCTGCCGTGGGGGGACATCACCCAGGGATCGCCCGAGAAGTTCCTCATGTGGATCACAGCTACAGGGGGGCATCGCGATCCAGAAGGGGCAGAAATGCACCCAGGTGATGCCTTCATACTTGAATGGGACAGAGCTGAACGACGGTGGCGCCCAGGCAACCTGCCACGTAAGGTGGCGCAGCAGTACTACTACGATTGGGGTCGCCACAGGGGGACGCCGATGATTACCAGGCCGCCACCGCCCGGTGCCACGCACCCACTGGGGCACTGGGAGCAGATGGCCATGAACCTCATCCCACGCCCCTACACCATGGGGGGGCAGGCGAGTAGCAGCAGCAGCGGGCAGCAGCAACCACCACAACCAGGACCTAGCCCGCCCCCCCCGCCGAGGCAGCCGCATCGCACCGGGACCAGCAGGGACACTGACCAGCCCTCACTGATGCAGCAGCAGCAAGTAGCACAGACGCAGCTAGACGACTCAGTAGCTTGCCCGAGCCATGGCCCGACGCTGGAAGCGAGCACGGGGGAAGCAAGAGGAGCACAGCCGCGAGAAGTGGCCGCGATGCTCTGCTGGCTACGCGAGCTGGCCGCGTGGGCGGCAGAACAGCAGATGCCCGTCCAAGTCCGGTACGAGATGGAGTCCGCCATGGCCGTCCTGGGGGATTGCCTGCACCACGCCAGGCTGCAGCACAACGCCCAGGGGGACAACGTGAAAAAGAGAGGCCGGACCAACCAAGTGCTGGCAGCACGGCTGCGACTCCTGGACCTCTGCGACGACACAGACGACGACCTCAACCAGCACCAGATCTACGAGGACCTCCGTGTCATCGAGAGACTTCTGAAGGAAGGGACGCAGCAGTTTCAAGAAGCCACGCAGGGCAAAGAGGGAGAACTCCTTCGACAGGGAAGCGAAGGACTGAGCCAGACCCTCGCAGCTGTACAACGAGCCCAAGCTGCCACAGTACAAGGGGACCTAGACTGGTGCACAAGCAGCTGGGGGACGGCAGTCGCCATTCTCCTCGAGGAAGCGCAGGAAGCAGTAGAGGAACACAACGAGCTCGGCCTTGTCCACAGCTCCGATGTGCTAGGGCTCAGTCAGGGAGCCAACGAAGGGCCAAGAAGACCACCAGAGCCAGGCCCAAGACTGGAAGCGATACTGGGGGACATCAGAGAGGCCTTGGGCTTCTTGACGGCAGGGCCGCACTCCCAGGTCTTGAACGTACTTGCAGCAGTGGCTATGTGGCAGTCGCAGAACATGGCATACAACGTGGAGACGCAGACCACGGAGGGAGGGGACGAGATACCCCACCAAGCCATGGATGGTGGAGGCAGACAACAAAGCCGATGGGTGCCGCAGCCCGGGGCGCCACAATGGTCGGGCAGCCTGCCCAGCTCAGCAGACGAGGCAAGAACAGACAGAAGCACAGATGAAGGGGGACCGACTGACGAGGACCTGATCCAAGCCATGGAAGAGTACGAGCGACAACAAGAACGAAGAGACCTGGAAGAAGCAGAGGAAGAAGCCCGCTGCCTTTTCACCCGGCGCAGAACTGAAGGGGGTTCAGCTGAGAGCCACCGCCGCCGTAGAATGCATGCGGGGGATCCTTGAGTAAAGCCATGCAGATTAGGGGGTTCCGGTGAGCTGTAGAAGCAGGGGTCCCGCCGCACGAGCAGAGCACGAGGGGGCACAGTGCAGCTACTTACTTTCAGATTCGTGGTATCAGTCCTGCATGCAGTGTTGTCCGGTCAGAGCCTCAGAGTGCCAAGCAGTGGTAGTGCAGTGCATGTACAGTTTTTGCCAGGGGAACAGCCAGGGATGTCTTAGGTAGCTTCCACAGTGTCTTGCTTTGCAGGTTCGCAGGTAGCCTTGCATGATGTTGGGGGGTCAGTTGTGAGCTGTTCTCCAAACGATGTGCAAACTGAGCAGTCCCCAGTGGCAGTTGTGCAGCCTTTGTGAGGGGGTACTCTCGTGCATGCTTTGTGTGAGCTGTTGTAGTTGTGGTCGGAGGGGGACAGTCAGTGCCACACGATTTGTCCACGCGGCAATAAGCTGCGAAAGGGCGAACGGGCCAAGTAGCAGCCCTAGCTGAGACGAGGCCGGGGGATCATTAGTGTACAGGGCATTAGGGGGTCACCAGTGCCGTACGCCGGCCTCATCCTTCAGCCCAAACGTACAGAGGACAAGGACCAGTGCGCGTGCGCGCGCGGGAGGGGGCGTGCCTCCTCTTTGGCTGTGCAGAAGAAGAGAGAGAGAGAGAGAGAGAGAGAGAGACAGAGACAAATCCTGCCTGGACCGGCAGGTGCGCGCACGCGTGCGGGGGGCGGGGTTGGACACACCCCAAACCCCAAGCCTGGTAGAGAGAGAGAGAGAGAGAGAGACAGTGTTTTTCGCTGTGCCTCAAGGTGTGAATTCTTTAAACAGGACTAGGGCAAACAAACATGTCCTGGTCCTTCTCAGGTAAACCCGTTCAATGAGGTCCACATTGGCTTCGCAATCCTAGGTTCTTTTCAAACGCACCTTCTCGAGGTAGTCAGTGATCCTTGAATTCGGGGGACAGGAAGGCACTAATTCGCACCCAAGCCAACACTGTAAACCCATGGGAACCTACGCATGTTCTTCCTTCTACCCTTGCAACTCAACCCGGAGGGGGGGACGCCCAAACTTGCAGTACTTTCGGCCGGAGCCTTACCTGCTTGTTGTTTGTTGACACTAGGTAACCGCGCCCCCTTGCCTACGAACAGCCTCCGGGGGAGCTTTTCCTTTCCTTGTATAGCCGAGCCCCCTGTGGGAACACCCATCAAGGGAACAGAGTCAGACACCCGTGGACTGCGGGTGCGCGGTCGCGCGCAGGGCACAGGGTTGGACCGCCTTGTGTCCTTTTCCCCGTAGAGAGAGAGAGAGAGAGAGGGGGAAACGTGTTCCCTGACCTCGAAGCCCGTGC